ATCCCCAACATTCTGTGATTCTGTGACCTTTTACCTGAGGAATCCTCTAATTTTCTATTCCGGTTTGGGACTGTCTGTTTTGGTAACCTCTAAGCAAGCTCTACTTCTATGTATGCATAGGCTTTAGCATGTCTGTATCTCCTGGAAGGTCCAAAACGATAGGCACAATTAATATGGTGACTTCCTGCTTAAGTTTTACGTATATAATTTTTGTGACTATTAGCTACAAAGTCAAAACCTAAAACATAGGATCTACTCAGATTGACTGAAACTGAACCTTGCATTATAAAATGGTTCAAACCATTACCTCCTAGCTTACTGTTCTCCATCCCTACTGCTGAAGTTGAAGGAATATTTTCTAAATGTATGCTTAGACTCTGGGCTTAAGCTGAAGTATCTTACAAAGTCGGAACTTCACAAAATAAGAAGGAATTGATGGTGGGCACTAAGGTAATAGAAGAAAGGTAGAGAGCAGCTAGTGCAGATGATGTGAATTAGAGTGCACTGGTTGATCTGGTGTCAATATAGCCTCCTGTTAACTGTTTTCATTACTATAGGGAGCAAAAATTAGTAAGCACAAACCTTAAATTCAGTTTTGCAAGACCAACTTCAATAATTTTGATTAAGAAGCATAGAATTTAATATAAAATGATAATAATGTGTTACTTTAATTCCTCTTTCATTGATGTTTAAATATGCAGATTTCTTAGAGGACAGATATTCTTATTTCCACTTAGTTCTGCTTGTAAGTAATGAGCCCAACTGCTCAGATCAGAAGACATAGCTTGCAAATTGGAAAATGATGAGATTTTCAGCTAAGCAGTGTGGATGTATTTAAAAGCACAAGCGAGTGGGATGTTCACTGTTTTAACAAAATTTCACAGATGTGTCAGTAAGATTTTGCAAGGAAGAGGAAAGTAGCTGAACAGTATTTGTTTATTGTATGTTTCTCAACCACACAGATTACTCAAAGAAAATTAACACATAAAATAAACTGAAAAACATGTAAAATTAATGCTTGCAGTGCAAGCGCACCCTTGTAAACTGGATTGCCTATAAAATAAATAAGTAATGATGAGTGCTACTTTTATAGGTATGATTTATGCCACTGTTCATCACATGCCATTAGACAAAAATGCATAATTAGACATACAAGCAGCAGCTCTACTAATCTCAGCTGCCTGCCAAACATCACGTTATGCTTGCATTTTAATTTATAACTGAAGCAAGAGAGGAAGATATGCAACTTGGTTTTTATCATTCTGGAAAACTAAGGCTTAGAAGAAAACTTTGTTTCTAAATCAGATATTCTCCACCTTTTTTTCTCTTTCAGCCTTAAGTAGCAAATACTAGCAAATACTTAGCCTAAATTCTAAATACCTATTTCTTATTGAAAGAGCGTTAAGTAAGTAAAATGCTCTTCTCTCTGTATGAACATGGACATGAATTTGAAGAGTATCTATAGGTAGCATAGAGCAAAATAACTTTTTCTAGTTTTTAGGCCTCTATTATCCCCTTATAGACTATTTTGTCAGCAGTTTTTGCATATTTACCCTTTCACATATAAGTGCCACTACTCCTTGCTTTTCTGTTTGTGATGTACAGAAGATAGCTCAGCAGGATATAGTATCCTTAATTGTAGCATTACACAAAAAATTCTGAGAAGTTTGTTATAAGCTGTGGGTCTAACTCAATACTCTATCAAAGAGCAAGGACTTGCCCATTTGCATTTCCTTTCCATTTAAACAAACTCATTTTTGATACTGGTTTCAGTAGCCAGACAGTATTCTAAAGGGATGACCCATAAAAGATTCACATTGCAAAAATCTAACACCTGATTTTTTGTCACATTGATTGTGTGATTCAATGAGGACTAGCATTTATACCTTTTCATGAACCTTTTGCCCTGGCTCCATTCCTTCAATATGCTCTGATTCGGCAGGCCCTTCACCAGCTGCCATTTTCCTCTGAATGTGTGCATTTTGTTCACGCAAAGCTACAATCTGCAAAACAAAGAAAATAAGTGGTCAATATATGTAAGAAACTGCAAAACTACTGAGCAGACAATTTGTTTAATCTATTCAAATTTTGATCCTATATTGACCATTTGCAGCATTTGCAAATTATGTCTGTACATGCAGAGAGGTTTAAAAAACAAAAATCATATTAATAATGACTAAGGGCCATTAAGGATACAAAGGAACCTATAAATGACAGGATAGTCAACACTGTCGTGTTTTATCTTCTGTCCTTACTTTGTGCAAGGGTACTATTTTTTTTTTATTTTTTTTTAGCTTGCAGGATGAAAGAGCTGTTAGGTATTGATTTTGTAACACTGCAAGAACAAGACTTGTTCTCTCATACAGAACACAATGGATACCCAACTGATGTTACAGGAAAACAGTGTTAAAAGGCTATAAACCAAAAATAAGTGATGTAAAATGAAGTGCTATCTTTCTATCAACTTCCCATCTGTTAGTAATGGCAACATATGTTTTAAGTTGTTTTTGTTAAGGTAAACATGTACATAAAAGTCCTCTACTGTGGTATTCATTGACTAATTTAGTGCATATACAGGTAAGTTTTATTGTATTGAAAATATTGTTCTGATTATTGGTAATGCTATCAAAAATCCCATGCAGCTACTGGAAAACAAACTGCTTTCTCTTTGACTTTGGACTTTGTAGCTTACTCTCAGACAATACCCAAGATGGAAAGATTCAGGTCCTAAAAGAATTTTTACATGGTATACTATGGTAAGTTGGAAGATCTGAAGAATATACAACTTAAATCTATTTCCATAAATTGCACAGTTCTTTCATAAGCACATATAATAAATTACTTCGTGAACAGATAACACTGTATATTAAACATAGTAGAACACTGGTAGGATGTACAGATGCTGTTTTGGGAAAGCTGGTGTAAATTTAAAGGCTTCTGTCACTGTATTGTGTCTGTATAAATCCTGAATCAGAAACACCCTAAAACACTGTCCTGTCCTAGAACACAAAAGTATCAGGTAGGAAGGAAGATTTAAGGCAATACTACCTGGTAAGCGTGTACAGCAGCAAAGATTTTTTTGGAAAGGTAATTTAACTTAATTTAATTTTAATTTAAATTAAAAATATTTACTTTGATCTGAATAATTTAGTTTGAAAAGAAAGAAAATTTTTTTGAAATGTGTTTTTTAACTTACGTTTAAGTTCTGATTGTAAAGACCATTTGAATCAATGCTGACCAGCCTTTGAGATCTCGAGGACACATCACTTTAAACAACTCTTCCTTAATAAAAATTTTGAAGACTCTTGTGATACGAGTCCGGCTGATTCACTGCTCACTAAATTCCAATTTACAGCCTTTGTAGAACTCGTGTGACTCCTACTGATTTCAAGACTGAGACTTGAGGGCAACATTTCACCCAAAGCAATTATAGGAAAATGTAAAAGAGAGGGAATTAAAACTGTCTGAGACTACCTGTGTCTTTTGGGGTTGTACAAATACGCTGAGCTTTAAAACATTTTGCTTAAATAAGAGAACTGTATCTGTCTTAAATAACAGAAAAAGGTCTTTATAATCTCATTAGCATAAATTCCCTTTGTACACAGTAATCAGCAATTCAATAACTTTTTTTTTTTTTTTCTGAATAGCTTCACTCATTTATTTTTTTTAATGGGTCAAATGGTTCTCAAACCTAAACTAAAGAAATTACGGTTCCCACCAAGCAAATTTACCCATCAATTAGTGCTAAAACTGACTTTCGGGTAGATTAAGGGAGATACTTCAATTTTATATTATAAAATTATGATTTATGGAGAGTAATTATACATTATGTGAAACAAACATAAAATCACAGCATATGTTAACTGGCAGCCAACAAGCGATCTAGATTTTCATATGATAATCTATCACTGTTCTATTAAAATGCAGACTTCACAATGCCTTCATCCTGAATTGCCACCTGTGTCTAATGCAAATCCTTAATTGTCCTTTACCTCAATAAGAATACTGTATAAACACTACTGCCAAATTTTATCATTTTATCACATATTCCATAACAGTTTATGTTTTCTTAGCCTCTGCTGGTCTTTAGATATCCTAGGATCTTAACTTTCTAAGTAAATAAACAGAGAATAATAAAATAAAATAAAATTATCGCTTCAAAGTGAAAGGCAAATAAAATAATATAATACTGTGTATCATTATTTTAGGGGATTCACTTGTTTTTTGAATGTCTCAGAACAATTTATTTACCAAAAATCCATCATTGTTAAAGCTTATTGCTTCAATGGTTTTATTACTGTAATGAATGCAGAGTAACTTTATACAGGAACAATGCGGAGTTTGAAGTCTGGCACGTCTTAAAAGTTTCAGCTCTAGGGCAGTTGTCAGATAACAGATCTAAGTTGTGAAGAACCACACAGCTAACTTGCTTTCATACTTGCTCTCTCCTCTTGATTTAATGAATACATTAAGGCAGAATTAATGCTCCTGAGAAAGCACAGAAAATCTCCTTTTTGTTATAAACAAACATGTTTTTTTACTTTTTGGTTTGTTGGAGCAAGAGGTTTTTAACTGCTGTCACACTCATGTTTATTACTTATTTATCCTGAACTTTCAATAATGTGCAAATTATTTGAAAATGTGTTAATTTAATCACTGAACAATTTCTGTAGCTCTCTATACAAGCAGCCAAAACACGCCTGAATGGATGATGTTGATGAAATAAGTGAAGACACAGGTGACTCTAAATTTTTTCTTAGGTGCCTCTGTATCTTCATAAAATTCTAACAATTATTACAGCAGTAGACAGTGATAACAGCACAGATCTAGGTAAGAAAACAATTGTTCAATATAGATAAAACTCAGAAAAATACTATTAAGAAATACCTATTTCTTATATTGATGCTTTTACATTCATGATACCCAGCTCAACATATCTATTACAAAATATGTCTACAGACAGCTTTCCAAGTACCTAGGTACTATTTGACTCTCTAACATAATAGTCCTTGATGAAATTCTTAATGGTTTTCCTGCTAAATTCTCTTTTGAAAAAGTAAAAGGTAATATTCTTGAGGATGGATTAATATTTTCTAAAAACAAAATGAAATTAAAAAAATGAAGAGAGATTAACAGAAAATAAATGTGTATAAATACCACTGTTGTATTTATTTACCGCTGTTGTACCCAAAACTGGACAATCAACCCTAAACACTCAAGTCCAAATAATACCTGCTAAAATATGATCAGATGTATCAGATATTTTTTTCTTATCAACTTCTGATTCTGAACCTCAAATTATTAGATTCCCTTTCTAAATTGCTATCACAGACGTTATTTTCCTATTTAGCATACTTGTCAAGATTTTACCTGGACCAGATCAACACATTTCAAAGTGACTCTAATCTTAAGCAAGTGTAAAATTGCAGAGATGCCAGTCTCTCCATCGTTAAATCTAAAGACAACTTCCTGTTGCAAATCTAAATTGGGCTCCCTGCTAACTTTGCCAAGCTCAGTCAGCTGAATCAAAATTTGTTTTTTGATTGAGAAAAATGAAACAATGGTTGTGAATGCAAGCTTTTGTGACTTTTATAACACTGAAACTTTCAAGAACTTCCATATATTTAGATTCTGTTTTGCAGATTTCAAAGGTACATAGAAAAAAAGTGGCACAATTTCTAAAGCCCTACTCTGTCATAGTCATTCTGAACATAACCTTACACAACTTCCACATTTTTGTCTCAACTCTAAAATCACTTCAACTTTCCTAGAGCTCTGCTTTCTGACTCACTGTTTTGATAAGCATGCCTACTACATTACCAATATAAATTATCTCAAAAATCTTAGTAGGATTTATGAATATTATTTACAGATATCACTGAATCATATGTTTTTTTAACAAAGTCAGGATTCAAGAATTCAGATTCAAAATTACAACTGGTCTTCATTTCCACAAATGACCAAATCTCATCTCATGCCTGTACACTTGAAAAAATAGTCTGAATTCAGGTGTTAAAGAAATATTCCTTTCAAATATTAAAATACACCACAGAACAGGATCTCAATACATAAGCCAGAACTGATCTGAAGAAGTATCTGGTGTTACAGAACCATGCCCATCACCCACGCTGGTGAAAAAGGACAATGTAATACGAAAATAGTTTCATAATGCATAAAGATTACACAAGACTATAAATCGGTAAACAATAGCATAAAATACAGCTATTTAGCAAGCGAAACAGTCCAATTACTATTTGTAGTAGGACACTAAGACATACAAATGAAAGAACGAAAAGATTCACATTGTAGTTGCAAAAACTACCAAACTGTGAAGCATAACCAAAAAAGACAGGAAAATCAGCATACAAAAATAGCAACAATTGAACTAGGCTCACTGGACAAAATAAAAATAAACTGGAACACGCTAACTATTAATGAAGATGGAACAGATTTATTCATGGTTCCAAGTGTCTCACAAGACATAAAATAAAGCAAGAAAAATCATTTCCAACCACATGTTTACTTACAGCATTTTACAAAATAATAATTAATTTAAAATTATTTGAGAGGTGTGAGGTCAGAATCCATTTTCTAAACATATAAAATCCTGAATGACTGGATATCTCTGCTGCTACAATTTTATCAGTTCTCTACTTCCAATTGTTTGGCCATTTGTTACCTCATTATAGTTTTGGGCTTCAGATAATTAACTTTATTATGAATACATAATATACTTAACTATAACAGCAATGAAAAGGAACTGTCAATTTATTAGAATTGTTTTATTAACATTTGCCTACTATAGATCCATTTTTTTTTATTATGCACTTGTGGGTCTGTTAGGTCTAATGTAATTAAAAGATCTGTCCTACATTTACAGAACTTTGATGGTGTCTCCTTACTCCTGGTAAATGTATCTCAAGCATCTATGGAAAAGCTTTTATTAGATTTCCTAGGATCAGTAACTGGCTCAGTGCCAGACTTTCCCTCAAAGCACCAACAT